TGAGGGGAGAGGAGTGCGGTGAGAGCGGTCTGGCCGCTGCAGCCACCCACCCCGCCACATTCTGCCATTACTCACCCAACCGCGCCCACACTCCCGGCTTCGCGACCGCCGCATCGCCCGCCTCTCTGCGGCCTCGAGACCAGATTCTCTTGAAAGCAGTTGTCGCCATTCTCTTCCGGCTTGGGGTCCGTTTTCCGAAAAGAAACGCTTGGTACCTGAAGTAAAGGACCCGGGGAGTCTCTTCTGCGCAAGCGCCAACGGCACCGGAAGTAGCTTCCCGTCGGAAGAAAATAGGAAAGGGACCGGCGCCGGATGTTGCTGTCTAGTCCGAGTCGGGTAGGCGGGCCGCGCAGGCGTAGAAAGCCCCGGCCACTCCACCTTGGGTAGCCTCAGGTGAGCGGGGCGGAGTGCCTGTGGGGTCGGCGGGACGAATTCAAGCCCCCGTAGGTGCCATTAGCTGCCAGGAGGGGCTCGGGCTGAAGGATAAGCTCCGGGAGGGGCGCTGGCCTAATCGGCCTCTGTCCTCGGAGTGGGATGCGGTGACGCCCCCGAAGGACCATGGCAACGGCCGACGAACTGACCTTCCACGGTGAGTGCGGCTCAGGAGTGACCGGAGCTCCTCCCCCCGCCCCTTCGCTAGAACCTCCCATGCAGCGTCCAAGGCATCTAACCCGAACCCCAATTGGCTGTGAACCCCAGACCCGAAACTCATTCCTACCTCGAGCCCCGCTCCCGCCCTGAACTCAGACCTCAAACCGGAGCCTCTAGTCCCCAGATCCTGACTTGATCAGGCCCAGCCCTAAACTGCAGTCCCATATTAGGGGTAAGGGAACAGACCTCCTTCCCAAGGCCCAAAACTCAAGAAGTTGGACCCTGCCTCAGGAGAGAGGATCGAAAAGGCCACAGCAGGTGTTTGGCCCCCAGATGAGTGGTGGGCCACGTGGAATTGTTTCAGCCCCCGAAACATGCCTGTGTCCCCTATGCCCTCTCCGCAGAATTCGAGGAAGCCACTAATCTTCTGGTTGAGACCCCAGATGCAGTCACCACCAGCAGAAGTGATCAGCTGACTCCACAGGGGCACTTGGCCGTGGCTGTGGGCTCGGGTAGCAGCTATGGAGCCGATGATGAAGTGGAGGAAGAGAGTGATAAGACGGCGGTGAGTCACAAAAGTCCTTGTGCCCTGCCTCTGTCCAGCACCCTGGCTGACCCAGGATGTAAGGGAAGGCACTAAAAGCCTGCGCTGTGCAGCTCCTACAGGAGAAGAAGCAGCAGCCCGAGTTCTGGACCTTTGGCTACTATCAGAGCTTCTTTGACGTGGACACCTCACAGGTGAGGCCCAAGAAGCAGGTGGGATGGGGCTCGGAGTCACTCTTGGGGTTCAACCGCTATTCACCAAGCACTTTCTGTGTGCCAGGCCCTGGGTAGGGTGCTGGTGATAGCTACGTGGGACAGCGAGAGCTCCTACCCAGGCCGATAGGAGGGATGGTGGTGCTGAGAATTATGGTGTGCCTAGGGCTGTAGGAGCACAGGAAACTCACATGATCTGGTGGGTTGGGTAGAGGCTCCCTGGAGGAAGAGAGGAATTTGCTGAGACCTAAAAGAGAAGGAAGGATTCTCTAGGTAGAGTGGAGGGGAGGAGAGGTATGTTCCAGGCATAGGGAACAGCATATACGGGACACCAAAGGTGGAAGAAGGCATGGACTGTCTCAGAAGCTGCCTGTCACTGAATCTGGTTGGAGAGTGTGAGGTGGGGGACAGGCGGGCAGCAACTAGATCACCAAGGGCCTGGTGAGCTCTGTTAAAGAGTCTGGGTTTTAGCCTGAGGGTGATGGGGAGGCATGGAAGGGCTTCGAGCAGAAGAGGAAGGAGTAGAGGAATGAATGGACATGCACATGGAACATGGATCGGAGGCCCCAGGCCAGGGTGGGAAGTGATAATAAGCCAGGGCCACAGAGTTGGGGACATGCTGGATGGAGATGTGGGAAGGAGAATGCACAGGACTTGTCGACTCCTTACTGGGGCTGGTAGGGGAGGCTGCAGAAGGGCGTTCAGGGCAGCCAAGCTGAGAAGAAGAGGAAGCAAACAGGAAGACGGTAGGCCCAGAGGGGCCCTACAGAGTGTGGGCCACCACTCTGCTGTGGGATGTGAGTGGGAGCTGGCCAGGGAGAGGGGCTCCAGGCCACAGGGACAGCCCATTGAAAGCCCAGAGGGGAGAGCTGACCTCTTTCAGGTAGGGCTTGGAGAGAGAAGATTGAAGGTCAGCAGGGGAGGAACCCTGGACTGCATTCCATCCTGGACTCCGGCCTTGCCCTCCAGGTCCTGGACCGGATCAGAGGCTCGCTGCTGCCCCGGCCTGGCCACAACTTTGTACGGCACCATCTGCGGAATCGGCCGGATCTGTATGGTGAGTGAGGTTGGGCATTCAGTTCATTGGATTATTCATTCAACAAATGTGGACTGAGTGCCAGGCCCTGGTGTACAGCTGAGTCACTCGTGGAGAGTGTGAAACTTGCCTTCCATCCAGGGAGACAGTCATAAGAGACCACAGGGGTGGGACAGGGCATGGAAGAGAAGCAGAGGTTTAGAGGACTAGCCACACTGCTATTCTGCTCAGGGGGGTCAGGGAAGGCCTCTCTGAGGAGGGTGATGGAAGTGAGGCTTGTTGGCATCCGTGGGGGGCAGGCGTGATCTAGGGGAAAAGGGTTCCAGAAAGGGCATAAGCCCTGTGGCGGGAACACGCCTGAACTGCAGGGTGGTGTTGTCATCGGAGCAGAGAGAGCTGTTGGGAGGGAGGTCACAGAGGTGACAGGACAGATTGCACAGGCCTGCTCCACTGTGGTGAGAAGGGACATCAGTTCAATATTCTTTTTTTTTTTAAAAGATGACCGGTAAGGGGATCTTAACCCTTGACTTGGTGTTGTCAGCACCACGCTCACCCAGTGAGCTAACCGGCCATCCCTATATGGGATCCAAACCTGTGGCCTTGGTGTTATCAGCACCACACTCTCCCGAGTGAGCCACAGGCCAGTTCAATATTCTTAAGGTCCCTCTGGCCACAGTGGCGGGCGAGGGCGGAAGCCAGGAGGCAGGGAGGAGGTGACTGCCCTGATGGAGGCTGTGGACGAGAGGAGTGGTTGGATTCTGGAATAATGTGGAGGCAGAACCGGCAGGATTTGGTGACAGTGCAGGGCAGGGCAGGAGAGAAGAGCTGGCTCCAGGGTTTCTTGGGGTACTACTAGAAGAATGGAGTGGCTCTTTATCAATGGGAAAAGCTGGGCAGGCCTGGGGGGGAAGAGCTGGTGTGGTGGGTGGAGCTGTAGGCACCCTGTGGAAACGTGAACCTGAGCGGGGGGAAGAGCTGGTGTGGTGGGTGGAGCTGTAGGCACCCTGTGGAAACGTGAACCTGAGCCTGTGGCTCCAGGCAGGGCCCAGACTGAGACTTTGGGCGTAGTCCCTGTAAAGGTGGCATAAGTCCCTCAGGATGGATGAAATCATCATTCAAGAGGTCAGGGAGGAGGCGACAAGGAGGTTGAGGGATTGCCACCACAAAAGCCAGGAGCAAGGGGTCCTGACAGCCACATGGAGAGTGCTTCCAGAAGGAGGTGAAAGAGCTGAGAGCCAGCACTGATTCAGCCACTAAGAGGACCAGTGGGTGGCTTGAGAAGAGGCCCGGGTTCCAGCACAGTTGAGACGGGACACATCCACCTGTCCTCGGAGCACTGGATATGTGACCCTGATGTTGCCCGCAGGCCCCTTCTGGATCTGTGCCACGCTGGCCTTCATCCTGGCTGTCACTGGCAACCTGACACTGTTGCTGGCCCAGAGGAGGGACCCCTCCATCCACTACAGCCCTCAATTTCACAAGGGTAAGCAGGGTGGGCAGGCCCAGCACCCAGCAGGGCTGGGAGAGTGTGAAACTCGCGTTCCGCCCAGGGAGATAGGCATAAGAGACCACAGGGGCGGGACGGCATGGAAAAGAAGCAGGGCTGGGGGTGACTGCCAGCCTCGCCCCCCCAGTGACCGTGGCAGTCATCACCATCTACTGCTATGCGTGGCTGGTGCCCTTGGCGCTGTGGGGCTTCCTGCGGTGGCGCAAAGGTGTCCGGGAGCGCATGGGGCCTTACACCCTCCTAGAGACCGTGTGCGTCTATGGCTACTCTCTCTTTGTCTTCATCCCCACTGTGGTAAGTGTGGCCCAGTGACGAGTGGGCGGTAGGGATCGCGGGGACGAGCGGCAAGATGCTAGCTACCCGTCTCACACAGGTCCTGTGGCTTATCCCCGTGCCATGGCTGCAGTGGCTCTTTGGGGCACTGGCCCTGGCCCTTTCAGCTGCTGGGCTGGTGTTCACTCTCTGGCCTGTCGTCCGCGAGGACACCAGGCTGGCAGCTGCAGTGCTGCTGTCTGTCGTTGTGCTGCTCCACGCCCTCCTGGCCATGGGCTGTAAGGTACAGGTCTGGGGGGTCATGGCTGGAACAGGACTGGGTTGGGCTGGCTGGTCCTGACGCTGATGCCGGGGGTCTCTGTCCAGTTGTACTTCTTCCAGCTGCTGCCTCCAGGCCACCTGGCACCCCTACCCCAAGCCACATCTCTGTCCCCAAGCATGCTGCCACCACCCACCCTGACCCGGTCCATGGCAACCTTCTAGGAAGGCCTTGACCCTCCAGGTAAGGAGTTCTTCCAGCTGAGACTGGGGGTGGCCCTCCCTCCCCACCAAGGTGAGAAGTTCTGGGGCCACTCCAAGGAGTTTCTCTCTTTCAGGCAAAACAGGAGGCACCTCTGCCTGTCCTGCACCCCAGGTGATGATTGAAGGCTCCCTTGACACCTCAAGATCACTCTGTTACTTTCCAGACTTTTATTACAAAGCAAACACTTTTATTTTCTATGCAAAGGTGATTCAGAGAATTTATATAAAGGTGGGGGAGGGGGCAGCCTAGCAGAGACAGGGATGGGCCCCCGCACCCTCCGGGCTGCCTTCTGGGCCATTGGGCTTTCCCTGACGCTACTATGCCCAAGGAACGGGAGGGAGGGCTGAGGGGCAGCCCAGCCCCGCGTGTGCCCATCCCTCCTGCGGTGCACACTTAGTAGGCTTGGGGCCTGGTCTGATCTCCAGCGTCCAAGTTTGGGGTGTTAGAAATAGGGGGAGCAGAAGTAGAAGAAAACTGCCTGTGCTGAAACATACATTTCCTTGTTTATTTTGTTTTTCTTTTTCTCTTTTTTGGGAGGGAGGTCCCTGCAAGGTCCTTTCCCAGGCTGGGGTGGGACCAAAATGCCATCATAGTTGTAGGGACTGGAGCGTCTAGAAGAATGATGGGGAACACACAGGCCTAATGTTAGCTACGAGGAAAAAAGTCGCCTTCCATGACAGATCTTTGAGGTTTCTCTGTGTCTGCCCCAAGTGGCGAATGGAACGCTTCCTCCCAGGCCTAGGGCCTGTAGGCCGCCTGTTCTAGCTGTTGAGGGGTTGGGGGGACCTGCAGGGGCTCAGGGACAGGACAGCAGCAAGAGGCAGGGGCCAAGGACGGAGGGCCTTTCCGACAGCAGGGTGGGTTGTACATTCAAGTGTGAGGTGAACCCTTTGGTAGGGAGGGGACTGTGGGCCCCAGAGGCCTGGCCTGCCCCGAAGACTTGGCCGGGCCGCCCCTCACCACTGAGCCTCTGAGTCTGGGGAGAGGGGCTGCTGGCTCGGCCCGGCCGGCCTGTCTTCTTAGAGGGTCTGTGGATTGACACTGGTTCTTTTCGTAAAAAAATAAAATTAAAAAAAGCAGCATGTCACGCCCATTGTGACCAAGGCCTGGTCACTGGAGGGGAGGCCCCGCCCACCCGGGCTGCCTTCCAGACCAGGGGGGCAGGTGCTAAGGGGCCGGGCTGGGCAGGGCAGTGCAGGGCTGGGCAGCCTGGGCCGTGGTGGCAGCTGCTCCCCTCCTCTGTCCCCACCCGGGTGCTGCTGTCAGGCCCCGACACACCTGTTACAGCAGATGTCAAAGCCAGGTCAGGGTGGAGACAGCAAGAGGGGGGACGAGGGCGCCCACAACATGATCTTGTGTAAAATATGGCAGCGACACGGGCTCAGGGCCAGGGGGTGGGGGTGGGGGAGGCAGCGGCGGCAATATTGTGTAAAAAAGTGTCCAAGTTCCCATAGCAAAGAGGGCTGTGACCGGGTGTTCGGGCTTGTCCAGTACAAGGGGGAGAGCCGCCCGGGCAGAGGTGGGGTGGCAGGGGCTTCATTTGGTTTCCTGGTGCTGTCAGTCTGTCAGGGCCCGATGCACCTAGCTCCCGTAGTGCATGGTGTTGGTCGGGATGGACATGGGCGAGGCCATCGAGATGGCAGGGCCACCCATGGTGAACTGGCTGTTGACTGCATAGTGGGCACTCGAGCCACCACCACCGCTGCCCTGGGTGCCGGAGGAGCCTGTGGGGCAGGGCGTGGGCACTGAGGGGCTAGCGTTGCCCCCAGCCCACCCGGCCCCTGGTAGAATCAGAGACAGAGTGCAGGCGACAGGGCAGGTGGGTGGCCCAGAGTGATACAAGCTGGCCCGGCCCCCACCCGCAGGACCCCAGCCTCCACCCGCGTTACCTTGGACAATCCCTGTGCTCATTATGGAGCCCATCCGGGAGTGGGTGTGATTGACAATCCCCGTGTTGGCTGCGCAGCGACAGGGAGGCAGGCAGGAAGGAAGGGAGACGGCGTCACCGCCCCCCGCCTGCCCACCCACTCGTGCTTTCACACAGGTGGAGAGGGCGGGTGCAGCGAGGCGGAGAGGAACGGGGGCCTTGGCTGAGAGCCCCAGGAAGCAGAAGAGGTGAAAGGCTCAAGCACAGGCCTGTGGGGCCGACCACCAGCCCCTCCCAGCCCCAGGGTGGTCCTGGACGCTGCCCCCACCACCCCCATACCCCGGGAGACACTCACCTAGAGGAATCAGGTTGTTGTGGCCCACACTGGAGCCGCCGGCGATAACACTGCTCAGGTCATAGGCCGTCGGCATCCCTGAGCCCAGAAAGGGAGGCGTCAGGCTGGGGGCAGTGGCCGGTGGGGACATGCCAGAGGCAGGCCCCAGGGGTGGGGGGTGCCAGGGTGTTGCAGGCAGGTGACTCACCAGCCACGGCCATCCCACTGCTGAGGTTGTAGGTGCTGCCCGTGTTCCACATGTTCTCAGAGGGAGACGTGTAGTGGGAGCCGGGGGGCGGTGAGGGTGTTGTGCCCGTGTATCTGCGGCAGAGACGGACCCGTGGGCAGGGCCGCGGGGGCTGCGAGGCCATGGTCACCCCCCACTCGGGCTGAGGTCCCCTCCTACCTGAAGAAGGGGTTTTTCAGATCCAGGAGGTTACTGGATTTGGAGCCCGTCTGGTCGACCTGGGCCACAATACTGATGTCGTAGCTCTGTCTGCGGAGGGGGCAGGGGTGGGCGGCATAAACCAGCTGGGTAGATGGACCTGTCTCCCCCAGCCCTGGGTGGCAGGCCTCACCTTTTGTTGGCAATAAGCAGACATGTCCCTGAGAGCGTATCCCCGGCCTTGGCGAACAGCGGTGACTGGAACAGGCACCGGACCTGGTACCAGTGGGTCAGGGGCTCCGTTGGGGCCGTGGACAGCCACACAGTCATTCTGTCAATCAGGGATAGGCATGCAGTTGACTGGGCTGGTGCCACCATTTGGGCCACCACCCTGTACACCTGGAACTCTTCCCCTAGCGCCTGCCCCCTCTGGCAGGTCTGCCTCGGGCCCTGGAGCTGTGACAGGACGGCCCCCCAGGCGCACACGAGGTACCTGCAGCCATGGTTCCTACTCACCCTGACACATTCATTCCAGATACAGACAAGAGCCCATGGGGGACAGTCACTGAGAACACGGTAGACACACACACCCCTCCCACAACAGTCTTGTGCTCAAAGACAAGCTCTCACTGCCCTTTGGAAGGGCCAGTGGAACCTGGAGGAGTTGTGTCCCACCCTCCTGGCCCCCAGCACGACACCTGACCCAGCCAGGCCCAGGGTGACAGCTGCAGGGAAGCCCGGGGAGCAGGCAGCGGGGCAGTAGGGTCAGTCCTGCTACACTCACATGGAGCCGATGAAAGCAACGTCAAACCAGAAAGCCAGACCGTGGACCAGCCCTGAGTGCAGCATGTGGAATTTGAATGGGATTTCTATCCTGGAAGGCAAAAGGCAGTGGTTGCTGAGGAAGCCAGACGGGCTGCCGGGAGAGGAAGGGGATGGTAGGTGTATGGGCCTGGGGCCTCCCACCCACCTGCCCTGGGACCACAGAACGCTGGTGGGAAGCAGTGGTGGCCCTGACCTTGGCTTGAGCCAGGCCCAGGAGGACAGGACGTGGGTACCTGTGCAAATCTCCTTCTTTGGCTTCTAAGAAGTTCACTGTGTACTTGACAGACTTGGCCATCAGGATCCGGATGTCAAATGTGTCCTGAGAGAGACCACAGGTGTGACCTGGCTTCTGGTGCAGGGGCCAGCGAGAAAGAGGGAGCCTTGCCCCTCCTCAAGTCTGGCCATAGCCTCGAGGCCACTCGGCTAAAACCGGCTTGCCCTTCTCAGATGTGCTGAGAGGAGGATGAATTGGCATGCTGTGGAGGGTGATGAGGTGACAGCTCTCAAAATGATAAATGACACGCATGAGACTCAGCAGTTGCACTTCCGAGAGTCTAAGCTACAGATATCTGTACACATGTAACAAACACATGTATAATTACAGACTGTTTGAAGCAGCAACACACGGAAACCATCTAATTCAACCAGCGATGGCCCATCCGTAAAAGACAGTGTTTACATGAGAAAGAATGAAGAGGCTCTTTATGGATGGATGCAGACAGATCTCCAAGATAAACCATTATGCAAGTTAAGAAAAAAGCAAGTTAAAGAACTGGGTTCTGACATCCACTCCCAACTATGACGGGTGTAGGTTTTATATCAGACTCACACTCCTGCCAAGAACTACGCAAGCTGAATAAAATACCAAGAAAAACATTAACCCGTTGGTGAAAGCATTGGGGAGGAACCACAGTAGCCAAGATCCTAGCAAAAAGGGAAATGTGTTGAGGGGAATCATTTTTGGCCTCCGCCTCTTCCCTAGGGGAGGCCAGATCCCCGTCTCGACATTTCAGTGGCCTCCCTGGGGGGCGGGGAGTTTGGGGATCGCAAGACAGCTAGGATGCAAGGGGCCAGGATGCTAAAGCACAGGGACGTGAAGTCAATGAGGTCGACGCCGTGTGCGCGGTTCCACCTCTCAGCACTGGCCAGTTCCCTGAGCTGCACGTGGGCTGGGGGTCAGAGGCCAAGGAACCAAGCAGAAAGCTGCTTCTAAGAGACTCCAAAGTTGAGGAAAGGGTGCTGGCCAGTTATCACAGTTGGCTAGACAGCAATATTACAACACCAAGGTCAAGGCAGCTGCCAAAAAACCCCAGAAGAGCTTGCTCTCAGACCACCAAAGCTAGGCCCTAAAGCAGCAGTTCTCAGCATGGTCCATTCCAGGGCACCCTCATGGTCAAAACTATTTTCCTAATAATACTCACATGGTTCTGTCTTTTTCACTCACTTGGTATTACAACAGACTGAACGGCAGAAGCAGAATCCAGCTGTCTTCTATTAAGCCAGACATTAAAGAGATTTGCAAACTAAAGATGCCACTATTCTCACTGAAAAAAACTTTTTTGGAAATAGTTTTTTTCTTCATAAAAAATGCTGCTATGTTAACATGTAAGGGGTTTATTATTGATTCTAAATGAACTTATAAACATGTATTTTTAAATTTCTTGGGTCCAGTTCCTAATACTAATAGATATTGATGGTATATCAATAGATATAACACACAAACATTTTTTAAGACTGTAAAGGGGTCCTGAGACCAAAATGTTAGAGAACTGCTGCCCAACAGGAAAGCCAAGAAATAGGCCTGCCAAGTTGAGTCTGAAAAGCAGTGTCCAAATATCTTAAATGCCTGATAGGACCAATGTGATCTGTCCATATGGCTAACTGCCTGAAGAAAAGCAAATCTTCAGCATGAAAAACATCATCCAGAGGCTCTATAATTTTTCATTCTGGCCTTCAATGATCAGGCATACCAACGGATGGAATCAAAGGACCAGAACCCAAAATGACGAGTATAAACAAATACACCTACCATTTTTCCAGATACTGAAATGATCAGAGACTTATAACTAATATGTTCAGGAAAAAATGGAGATTTTCACAGAGAACTGGGATTACAAAATATAACCAAAATGAAATTCTACTTTCACAGAGAACTGTGATTATAAGAAATAACCAAAATGAAATTCTACAACTGAAAAATTACAATAAGAATTTCAATTCAATTACAGTACGAGTTAAATTAAGATTTAGAAAAGCAGATTAGACAGGGTGAAGAAAGCCTGGAACAGGAAGATGGATCAGTAGAAAATATGAAAATGAAGTTGTGAGATAGAAAAGGATGCAAAATAGAGAAAAGAGTTGTAAGAATCTTCTGAGACATGGTGAAAAGGTCTACTGTACCCATAATCAGAGTCCCAGAAGAAGAAAGAGAATGGGGCAGAGGTAGTGTTTGAAGAGGTACTCTACAAGAGTCTCCCAAAGTAGTGCAAAACATCCAGAGGGGGGAAATAATAAAATAAACCTTATTAAAACAAAAGAAGGCAAGAAAATGTAAAAACAAGTCAGGATAAATAGAAAAATAGTAAGATGATAGATATACACACACATATAGATCAGTATTTACATTAAATGTAAATGGTCTAAATATTCTAATTAAAAGATAAAATCTGGTTTTAAAAAACAAAACCCCATTATATGCTGCTTATATGAGAAAAACTAAGTAATAAGGACACAAGCAGATTGAATGTAGGATAGAAAAATATATGTTGTATAAAGATTAACCCAAAGAAAGCCAACATAGCTGATCTATCAGAAAAAAAATAGACTTTAAGGCATGAAATACCACTAGAGATAAAAACAGACACTTCATGATGACAATGGAATCAATCCAACAGGAAGATATAATAATTCTAAACCTGTATATGGCTAATAACACAATGTCAAAATATATAAAGCAAAAACTATCATAATGAAATGGAAAAAGAAACAAGTCCACAATCAGTAACAGGAGAAGCAGATCAAAAAAACCGTAGAGAAAGAGAGATTTGACCAACATGATTAACAAATGTGACCTAACTGACATTAGTATAACACTGCATTCAGCAAGTGATTAGTATACGTTTTTTTTTTCAAATGCACATAGAGTACTAATCAAAAGAGACCACATACTGGACTTAAAGCTAGTTTCAGCAAATTTCAAAGGACTGAAATCATACAGTGTATGTTCTCTGACCACAGAGAAATTAAGACAGACCAGTATGTGGATTATGCTCTATTTTATCAGAAAAAAGGCTAAACACATGTATTTATATATGCACATTTAAGTGTAAAGCCTCTGTAAAAATACTGTTTGCCTATAGGAGCGTAATGGTGAAGCTGGGGATGGGGGGCGGGGCTTTTCTCTTTCATATTCATTTGATTTTTCAACCATGGATCTATATATCAATTAAAAAGTCTCATTCACTAAAATCAATCAATCAGCTCACCAAGGATCAATTCATCTAATAAAATTTGGCATGTACTGCATGCTGGCTGTGTGCTAAGTGAGAGAACGCTGTGTAGGATGGAAATGAAGGCTCAAACAAGGGTGCTGGCTTCCCTAGAGCTGCACAGTTTGGGTAAGAACTGACAATGAAGTATCCCACCTCCCGCCACCCCAGAAGACAGCCATGCCCAGAGATACCTACTACAGTGCCCTGAGTACTCTACTCACCACCACAGGCTGCCGGAAATACTCATCCACTGCGGCGCCTCGGAGAGCCGACAGGTCCACTCCATGGAAGGATGGCTGGTACCTGTGGAAAGCCCCCACCCCCAACGGCAAGGTCACCAGCAGCAGGAGAGGTGGGTAAGCTAGCTCTGCCTTCTCTCCCAGCTGGCCCTTGGCCAGCCCAAGTCTTTCAGGTCCTACTGAGGATAAGATGAGTAGAGGTGGGGCCACCTGGGGGTCTGGGGACCATCCCCAAGAAGGCAGGCCATAGGGCCCGGGCAGGACACCCAGAGCACACTCACCAAAAGTTGGCCTTGGTGAACTGCTCCATGTAGAGCTGTTCATCCGTGAAGGGTGCGAGGTGGACGTCACCAATGGTGGGGAACATGTTTCCTGGGAGTGGGGGCAGGGAGGGGTGCTGGTGTCAGGGTGGCACATCCTGTAGGGCCTGGTGAGCTTCTGAAGGGCCACAAGACCCCCAACCCCAAGCTTTCTCAGCCTCTCATTCATTCATTCACACATTCATGCAACGTGGAGGTGCTAAGCGCCTACTCTGTTGGTGGCCATATGAGCACTTGACCTGCACCATCTCAGTGAACCCAGACTGAGATCTGGGGAGGCAGGTGGGCCTGTCCTTATGTCCCATTACTGGGGCTGGCAGGCAGAAAGGCACCTGCCAGAGCCTTATAAGCAAGCAAGCAGTGCCTCTCAGTCCACACACACGCAGCTGAGGAAAGCAAAGCACGGTGGCTCTGGACAGAGCAAGGGTGGGCCCAGGCTGTGCCATCACTGGGGTCTCTCAAGGCCACAGGCTGGGTGGAAATAAGCTGAATCCCCATAACAGGGGCTGCCCAGGCTCTGGCACAGAGGCCAGGCTGGCAGGGGGGAGGCTTGTCCTGGAAGGGGAGGAAGGGCAGTGTCCTCCATCTGCAATTCAGTGGACAGAGATGGGCCAGTGGCAGGGTGAGCAGGGACTCCAGAGGCCCTGCCTTCCCTTGGGGAGCACCTGGCCTTCAAATGTGAGCCTCCCTGCCCCCATTGTATGCCAGAGGCTGTGGCCACTGGGGTGGGGGAAGGAGATGCTGATCTCTGGCTCAGAGGCCACAGGCTGGACCCCCTGCCCTGGAGGACCTGGGTGCACCTGTGAGTGTCCCCCAGTCTGGAGGGCACCTCCAGCTCCTGCTAGCCAGGGGATGTATGGCAGCGGGGAGAGTTCCTGAGATAAATGGAAGCCCCACTCTTACAGGCTGACTCCAGCCTCATGGAGCAGGCGGCTGGACCAGGGGAGGGCTGTGCAGCTGCCTATCAGAGCCAGATTTGTTCAGCCTCATGTACCCTCAGGAGGAGCTCGCTCTACTGCTCCCCACCCCACCCCAACTCACCCCAGCAGGCTTGGCCCACCAGCAGGGCAGAATGGAAGGTGAGCAGGGCTAGGACTGCTCCCAGGGCAGCCTCACATCCCACACCCACACCCAGGTTGCAAGACATGGCTGTGGGAAATGGCATCCACCTCCCAAGGCAGGTCCCTGGAGATCCAGGGAGAACAGGAGGACCCAGTAGGTACCTGCAGGGCCCCACCAGCCTGCCTCCCATGCTCTGCCCCGTGCCTGCCAGCCCAGCTGGCCTTCCTGTGCCCCACGCACGCACGGGCCCAACCCCTTGCCTATCCAGAGGTACTCAGACAGGCACACGCCAGAACTGAGCAGAGACACAGACATACCCACAGACGTTCAGGGCCATGCATAGAACATAGCAACAGACGGGCAGATATAAGCAGTTACCTAGTGACTCAGAGGCATGAACAGGAGGTAACAGATGGGCTCGCCAGACAGCTGCCTCCCCCGACTCACTCCTATACACCCGCATTACACATGCCTGCCCACCTCATCTCCCAGAATCTGGGGAGGGCAGGGCCTGTCAAACACCTGCCCAGAATGAGGGCAAGGCTGAAAGCCCTAGGACTGAAGGTGACAGGTGAGCCACTTGCGGGTACCACCCACCACAGCACCCAGTTACAGTGTGTGCACCTGTCCCCTAGCACCAGGCTCTCTGGGGGCGTGAGGCTCCCGAAGCTACAGCAAGCTGGGGTAGAGTTAGGGTTGGGATGGGGGAAAGGCCCAGATGCCCCTGCACCCCTGGCCAGTGACACAAATGAGCAGGAAGCTGAACCATTGAGGGGCCTGCATGGCTTGACCTGGTAGGCACAGCCTGGGCCTCCAACTGGAGACCCCCAGGCCAGCAGGTGGCCACACAACAGTGCACCAGCAGGGACACTCACCGCTGGGCTTCAGGTACTTCTTGGCATGGAGGTAGCTCTCAAGCATGCGCTCATTGAAGAGCATGTAGCCCATGGGCTCTGAGATGATGATGTCCACCTGCTCGGGCAGCGAGACCTCCTCCACCTTGCCGGGGATGACAACGATGCGGTCGGTCAGGTTGTTACTCTTCACTAAGACCTGCGGGCGGTCAGGCCGGAGGGGTCACAGGAGTTCCCTGCACCTGCCTACCACGGGGCCCCCACCAGAACCCTCCTCCCAAGGGAGGGCCTCTGCCCATACCCACCTCCATAGGCACACTAGCCATGGTGGGATTAGCTGTGGCCCACTAGGAGCTCACTGCAGCCCCGCCACAGCTCCCCAGGTCCTCGTCTCTACCCTGTGAGGACAACTCTGATGGCAGTAGAGATGGGGACAAGTGGACTTTGCAACAGCCATCAAAGCTACAATTGGAACAACCCCCCACCAAACCCAGCGATTACAGAGCTAAGAAGGTGTCCTAAAGATACCATCACGCACGTGAGAGGGGACGTGTCGTTAAGAGGGCTCAAAACAGCGATGTTTGTCATGCAAAGGTTGGAAAACAGAACAGACTAAACACAACTAAATGGACAAGGGTCAATCCAGGCAAACGGATGCTTTGCAGCTGCAAAACAACAGTGAGGGCTGGCCGGTTAGCTCACTTGGCAGAGTGTGGTGTCGATAACACCAAGGTTGAGAGTAGGGATCCCCATACCAGCTAGCCATCAAAAAAAATACCAGTGGCGAGAGGAGAAACACACGCTCGCTCACACGCACACAGAGCGGTGCTGGAAGGATCCATGTCTGTGCCTCTCCCTCCGGTGAGGGGCCAGGTGGCTGGAGGCCGGGGCAGGGGAGGGAAGCGTTTTCACTATCTACCTTTGGGCAGCTTTTACGTTTTGAATTTTGTGAATGGTTTCAGTGTAAAAAAAAAGGAAAACAGAAAAAAGGAAAAAAAGTATTTTTTAAAAGGAAAATAACAACATCAACCCACAAAAATGAAAAGCTGTTGTCATCTGTCTTTTACAAACGTGGGAAGTGGGGCTCGGAGAGGTTGGCCGGAGATCTTGTGCACCCCAAAGATCCCACCCTGGTCTGTGACCTCACAGCCCAGCCCCTGAAGCACAAGGCTGTCTAGTCTCTGAAGGCCCCCAATGGTCGATGACCTTGTGGGTGACCCACCAGTCTTGCAGGGGACACCACCTGAGGCCTCCACCTCAGGTCCACCAAGACCTTCCCTCCAACAACCACATGGTTTTGATTTGGGGAATAATGGAGAGAACAAAGCACAGAGGTGACAACGTTAGGCTCCCCTGGCCCTGGGGGCTTCCCTAGGCTGGAGAGGCACAGAGCTGAAGGACAAGGACGGGGCTGGGCACCAGTGGGATGCTGACCTCGGCGTGTTGGGCCATGGTGCTGGCCTCCACTGCATAGATCTTCCTTGCTCCAGCTTGGGCAGCGAAAAATGACAGGATCCCAGAGCCGCAGCCAACGTCAAGAACGATCTACAGGAGGAGGGGGAGGTAAGAGCAAGACCTGGGGAGGGGACAGTGACTGTGATGGAGGCACACAGCACCAGGCTCCAAGGGGCAGAGTCACCTGCTCAGAGCTGGGGGATGGCGACACCAGGAGTGACACCCAGTCCGTCTTCGGTCCCAGTGTCTGCCCTTCACGGGCTCTTGGTCAAGGTAAAGGGGGAATTACTGACGACGGACCCCAGGTCAGTCTTCTGGGAGGGTAAGCCCCAGGGAAGGCTCCCCGCTGGCCTCAGGCCCGCAGCCCGCAGATCTCTGGCTCATCTAGGCCAAGGGGCGTGGGCCTCCCCTGGAGGTCTGCGTGGCAGCAGGGGTGTCCTTCTAGGGCCTCTGCAGCCCTTGCAGGGAGGAGTTGGCAGCACCTCCCGGCTCCCGGCTGACTCCTGCTTGGAGAAGCAGCAGTGCCTTGGCTGTGGCAGGAGAGACGCCCAAGCCCTGGGGCTGTAGGGGCTCCCTCCAGAGCTGCTGGCCGCCATGACATTGACACTTGGCAGACTCTAGGCTGGGGTCTGGTAGAATACTCCATGTTCTGGGCTTGGGGGCTTGCTTCCACATGAGAATGGACATAGTTGTTTCTAGCGGTGACATGTGGAAGCTTTCTAAGGAGAAATGCTCTGGACAAGGTGGCAGGCATAGAGGGGGCACCCAGTAGAGGGGCTCAGGGCCAAGGGTGCATCTCGGAGCTCTGGAGGAACAGGCAATGGAGCTTCGTCCTGGAGAGCGGGGAGGGCTTCACTGTGGAGCGCGCACTTTCCGAGCCCCAGTGCCGCTCCTGTTTGACTCAACAAGGGCAGACGGCTGCTGTGTCACACCTCCTCCTCCCTGGGGCTGGGAACAGTGTCTTATGGGACACACTCAGCAATGCTAAGGGGCATGACCTAGGCGATGGATGAGGCAGACCCATGCAGACCCAATGGAGAGGAAAAACGCAAGCTCCTATTTGGTTCGAAAGAGAATACGTGCTGAATGATGGGAGGAAAAGGGAATCAATTTCCTTTTGTGGGGAGGGCAGGAAAGGGGCTGCTTTCTTCTGGGGATCTGAACCCTTGACCTTGGTGTTGTAACACTGCGCTCTAACCAAGTGAGCAAACCAGCCAGACCGATTTTTGAATACTTTCGCTCTGTACTGCTCCTCTCTCTTTGTAATCATGAATATACATTATTTGCTAATATTTGAAAGCTTTTAGGGCTGGCCGGTTATCTCAGTTGGTTAGAGTGGGATGCTGATAACACTAAGGTCCAGGGCTTGGTCCTCATACAGGCCTGTTGCCAAAAAAAAAAAAAAAAAAAAAGCAAGCTTGTAAAAGGAGCTAGGGAAGTGACTAGGTCAATTACAGCACATCCCTTAACTACATGTCCCAAGAAGTTATTTCTGGAGCCCTAACGTCCTGCATGGTGACTTCAGCTTTTAATACCATATTGTATACCTGAGATTTACTGAGAGGGCGGGGCTTAACTGTTCTTACCACATGAAACAAGGTAACTATGTGAGGTGACCGATGTTAATTAGCTTGACTGAGGTCCTTATTTCACATTGTATACATATATCAAAACATCACGCTTTCTAGTTTAAATACATACCATTTTCGTTTGCCAATGACACTTCAGTAAAGCTGGGGGAAAAAAACAGTGTCCTAAGACATACCGTAAGGGGGGTAAAAAAGTGTTCTCCAGTTAGAGTATGTAGAATATAATCCAAGTTCATTAAAACAAAAAAAAGACTCAGTGAAATAATTCTGAAATATATGCTGATGTATGCATGGGGAAAAATTTGGAAGAGATTTTATGCTGCTGGCAGTGATTGCTCTGAAGGACAATGACAAGGCCTTTCATGCCTATACTGTATACACTGTTCTTTTGGGTTTATACAATAAGTAGATTTTACTTTTGTAATCCAAAAAAATTAAAGATAAAATCAATGAGCAAAGACAAAAAAATTGAGGTAACAGAATCAAGGAGGCGGTGTGGAGCCTGAGGAAGGGCAGAGAAAGACAGGCCACTGTCATCCCAGCCCCTCCAGTCACTGCCAGGGGTCACGGGGCCTCCCTCATGTGTGTGCCCGCCCCACTCACCTTGTCCTTGAAATCAGTGTGGTTCTGCAGGATCGCACGCTGGTAGGTGCCTGTCCGCACATAGTCCTGCATCATGTTCTGCTGCTGTGACAGGTAGCCATAAAACTGGAACAGAGACACACCAATGGCACAGGGCACGCAGAGGGACAGATGGACAAGGCCCTGGCCAGCCCTGCGACAGAAGGAGGAGCCATCTTCGGCACAAACCTCCCTTGGGAGGCGTGCACCCTCTGCTGGCCTGGTCCCCACTGGTACCTGCCGGCTGCTCCAGAAAAGGGAGCGGGGAGCCAGAGAGCAGCCCCCAAGAGGGACACCGCCTTACTGTGGCCAAAGGACACAAATGGATGCTGCCTGGACCTGGTAGCCACCCAGCACACAAGATCTGCCACAGGCAGGGATCCAGTATCAGGGGCCACCTGCCCCATCTTAGGGGCCCCAAAGAAGAGGAGGAACAGATAGAACAGAACCCTAGAGCTCAGAGTGCCAGGCAGGTGAGGTGCGGTGTCTCTCTGTAAGACAACAGGCGGTCGGAAAGCAGCGTGGCACCAGGGCAGGGGCACAGGCTGTGGCATCAGGCAGCCCTGGCTTCCCATCTTGGCTCTGTTGCATAATAGCTGTGTGACTTGGAGCAAGTCACTTAACCTCTCTGAGCCTCAGTTTTCTCATCTGCAAAATGGGACAATAACAGCACTTACCTCTTAGAGTTGCTGTGAGGGTCCAGTGCTTCTGTGCATGTCAGAGCACTGAGACCAGTGCCTGGCATGCCGTGAGTGCTCAGGACATTATGACTGCTCTATTAGTATTCAAAACGCCTATGGGCCTGAGCTGCACCTGCACTCAGATCCTTCCAGCAACCCTCTTAGGCAGGCACCTGCATCTCCTCTTCACGTATAAGGAAACTGAGGCCCAGCAAGTATAGGAAACCTGCCCAAGGCTATGCAGCTAGTAGGGGACAGAGCCAGGGGACCCAGGTGGGCCTGCCCTGTGCTGAGTGGCCTCCTGTGAGTGCCAACCCACCTGGAAGTACTGCACGGCAGAGGACTCCTCCGTCCGCTCGCTGAACACTGATCGCTCTAGGGTGTGGCCCCGGCAGGTCTTCAGGATGTTGTAGAAGGAACAGAAATCTAGAAGAGGGAAGCCAGGTCACCGGGGGCGGTCAGCAACCCACCCCAGGAGGTTGGCACATGTGGCTATCTGGGCAGAGGGTTCCAGATGGACTGAGGCATTTGCTCCATCTTGGCCGCACACCCTGACTTTTCTACCTTGAACATGTGTGATTTGGTGTTTCTTTTTCCCCCAAACAACGTTCAAATTTAAAAGAAAAGAAGAAGGGCAGGCAGGCCTGCCACAAGCAGATTTTCCCCACACTCAGGCTGGTGTCTGGTGGGAATGGGCCTGGGTGTGTCCTCACCAAAGGGATGCGTGGCGAAAGTTTAGCAGAAGAATGCCCATTGACCCAGGTGCCAAACCTGTAGCAAGTAACACCAAGTCCACCCAGAAGTTATGGCAGCATCTGCATGTGGCAGTGGACACAAGAGGTGCCACCTAACGTCTAATAAGAAGGGACTGGATAAACCCCATGGACACAGAAAAGCACATCAGGGAACCAATCACCAACCTTCCCCAGGACGCAACGTTAGGCAGCCCTTTAAAATGAACATTTGGGACTGGCTGGTTATTTCAGTGGTTAGAGCACAGCGCTGATAACACCAAGGTCCAGGGTTCAATCCCTGTACCGACCAGCCACCAAAAAAAGAAAAAAAAAAAAAAAAAAAAAGATCGACATTGACCAACACAGAATGAACCACTAAATTATATCAAGTAAAATAAAAACTAGAACGGTGCTTATAAGATGATCTCTTAAAAAATTAAAATACACAGGTGGGGAAGATGAGAAAATTCTTGAGATGGATAGTGCTAATGGTTACACACAGTGTGAACAGACTTAATACCACTGTATACTCAAAAAGGGTTAAAATGGTCAATATTTTGTTATGTATATTTTATAATTAAAAAAACTGGGGCTGGCCAGTTAGCGCAGTTGGTTAGAGCACAGTGTAATAACACCAAGGCCAAGGGTTCAGATCTACCAAAAAATAAAAATTAATAAATAAAAATTAAAAAACTGGAAGAAGTGAGGGGCCTGCCCGGTGGCGCACTGCGCTAGTGCGCCGCTTGGGAAGCGCGGAGGCGCTCCCACCGAAGGTTCGGATCCCACATACAGACCAGTTCCCGCTCACTGGCTGAGCGAGGCGCGGGGGCAACACCGAGGGTTGCGATCCCCTTGCCGGTCCCGGTCCGGTACGGGGGCGACACTGAGGGTTGCGATCCGTTGCCGGACACGGAAAAAAGACAAAAACAAACAAACAAAAAAAAAAAAACTGGAAGAAGTGAAAGAAAAAAATTAAAATATAAATATTCATAGAGTAGGAAAAAACTAGAGGGGTTTATAATACTGCCATTAATGGCTGTCCATAGAGGTGGTGAAGTGGCTGCTGTCCCCACCCTGGACAAAGTGCAGCTTCACACAAAGGTAGGTGGCCCTGAAGATCGTCTGGGGTGTGTGGAGTCTCCTCCATTGGGGGGCACTGAGACAAGGTGAGGGGGCTCCTAGGTGGTGGTTATAGCCAGACAGCCTCTCCAGTTTTAGCCCCCCCAGCCCCAGCGCCAACCACCTTGCACACCTCAGCTCTCAGGTGACCAAGCCCTGTTGCAGGACCTTCAGATGGTCTCCAACCTCAGAGTCGTCACTGCCTCTACTGCTGCCCCACCTAAACCACCAGCTGCACTCACCTGGAGCTCCACAACCCCTCCTCAGTGCTCAGTGTGTCCCTCTGTATCCCCTACACAGGTCTGGTTAGGACCCTCCAGTGGCTTCTCTCTGGGCCCAGAACAAAGCCTCTGCCTGCCTCTTGGACCTCACCTCACCCCATGCCCTGAACTGCAGCCATAGCTGGCCCAGGACTGACCTCTGTTGGGAAGGCCAGGCCCAGACCTCCATCTGACAGGCCCCTCCAAGAGATCTGCAGTGTGGCTGGGACCACGTGGTCAGCACACACCTCTCAGAGGAGGGGACATAAGATCCGAGCCCCAAAGGACCCAAAGGAGCCATCCAGGGAGGGCCTGGGGCCAAGTGTTTTGTCCCAGGCAATAAGAATGTATTTTTACTGTGGATATACTTCCATGTAGAAATTTTTTTTTTTCCCTCTTCTTTTGGTGGTTGCCTGGTACAGGGATCCGAACCCTTGACCTTGGTGTTGTAACACCACACTCTAACCAACTGAGCTAACTGGCCAGCCCGGGTAATACGGTTTTCGACAGCAGGGGAGCCTTCGCTGGGACAGATGGGCTGTGATTTAAGCAGCCTCCAGGCCCCCTCCATCCCTGCTCTGGGTGCTCTGGCTGTACTGCTATGACCGCAGAGGGGACACATACCATTCGGTGTGGCAAACTGGATGAGGACACTGTTGCAGCCCAGCGTGATGATGAAGGACTGCTTGCCCACACGGCTGCACTCCGTCTCCCGGGACACCGAGCACTTAAACACACACACGTCCTCATCTACGAGAGAAGGGGCTGGCGTGAGCAGTGGCTCCCTGTCACCTGCCATCATTGGAACCTGCGACCCTGCCTCCCTCCTCTCAGCACTCCCAGATTCTTCCGAGGTGCCACAAAACTGCCCCAGAAGCAGCCCTGCCTGCCCAACCCATTCTGCAGACAAGGTGGCGGTCAATCAGGTGGCATGGACACAGCCTGTGCTCACAGGGTGACCATGGCTAACATGGGGGGCCCTGCTGACACGGCACTCAGAAATGTGTCCTGGAGGCTGGCCCGTGGCTCACTCGGTAGAGTGCGGTGCTCATAACACCAAGGCCACGGGTTCGGATCCTATATAGGGATGGCCGGTTTGCTCACTAGCTGAGCGTGGTGCTGACAACATCGTATAACTTCGTATAATGTATGCTATACGAAGTTATTACGCAAAAATGAAAAGCTGTTGTCATCTGTCTTTTACAAACGTGGGAAGTGGGGCTCGGAGAGGTTGGCCGGAGATCTTGTGCACCCCAAAGATCCCACCCTGGTCTGTGACCTCACAGCCCAGCCCCTGAAGCACAAGGCTGTCTAGTCTCTGAAGGCCCCCAATGGTCGATGACCTTGTGGGTGACCCACCAGTCTTGCAGGGGACACCACCTGAGGCCTCCACCTCAGGTCCACCAAGACCTTCCCTCCAACAACCACATGGTTTTGATTTGGGGAATAATGGAGAGAACAAAGCACAGAGGTGACAACGTTAGGCTCCCCTGGCCCTGGGGGCTTCCCTAGGCTGGAGAGGCACAGAGCTGAAGGACAAGGACGGGGCTGGGCACCAGTGGGATGCTGACCTCGGCGTGTTGGGCCATGGTGCTGGCCTCCACTGCATAGATCTTCCTTGCTCCAGCTTGGGCAGCGAAAAATGACAGGATCCCAGAGCCGCAGCCAACGTCAAGAACGATCTACAGGAGGAGGGGGAGGTAAGAGCAAGACCTGGGGAGGGGACAGTGATGTGTCCTGGCCCTGGGCAGTCTGTGGCAAGCAGGCAGGGCCACTGAGCATGGCCCTGGTCCATGGGAGACACAGGCAAGGAAAGGGCAATTACAGCAGGGTCAGGGATCCCTGGAAGCCGGCAGGATGCCCCAGGCCCAGCTGAGGGAGCCAGGCATTCATTCACAGAACCTCTGTGCCACATCGAAGGGGTCACCAGCCTTCACCAAGTTCAGAGCCAGAGGCTATAGTGACTGTGGTTTAGTGACTGTGAGTGTGGCCATTGGAGCCTGGATACCTGGGTTGATGCCTCATCTAGGCTTCTGACTCAGTGTATGACGCAGGCAAGTCACTTGGCCTCAGGTTTCTCATCTGTCAAATGGGGCTGACGGTGGGGCAGGGATCCTGTGAGTTACTGCATATCACAGAGCCTGGCACATAGGAAGCACTGCACCCCGAGCCCATTACGATTACTGTTACTAGTCACTCATTCAACACACGGTGCACCCACCTCAGCCAAATAGTGAAACTTAGTGCCATCAGGAAGAAGACAAACCAACTGGACATTGTGCCCCTGCCATGTCGCAGCAGAATGGACATAGTGTCTATACAGTGTTTTGGGCAAAAATGTTTACATAGTCCCATCACAAGGAGACAATGGACCATGGCAGGTGTGGGGTAGTCTGCAAGACAACCAACCTGGTCTCTCCAAAATGGCCAGTGTCAGGGAAGACAAAAGTACTAGCAACTACTCCAAGTGCAGGAAACGAGAGGCAACCCTCACATCCAAAGTGCAATGTTGGACTGCAGCCTGATAGAAAATGTCTTTAAAAAGGTATAAAGGAGGGCCGGCCCGTGGCTCACTCAGGAGAGTGCGGTGCTGATAACAACAAGGCCACGGGTTCGGATCCCATATAGGGATGGCTGGTTAGCTCACTGGGTGAGCGTGGTGCTGACAACACCAAGTCAAGGATTAAGATCCCCTTACCGGTCATCTTTAAAAAAAAAAAAAAAAAACTATAAAGGACAACCGGGGAAAGGTGAGTATGGACCACATGTGCAATAGTTTTAAATGATTTGGATGTGACCATGGCATTGTGCTTTTTAGAAGGATGCCCTCGTTCTTAGAAGATATACACAGAAGTATTTAGAGTGAATTCTTGTTATGCCTACAGTCTGCTTTCAAATGGCTTATCACATAAACATCAACAACACAACTGTACAGTAAAAAATGTTTCCAATCATCCTTAATGGCTGAAACAATCATGAAAAAGAACAAAGTTGGAGAATTCACACTTCCCAATTTTGAAATGTACTACAAAGATACAGCAATCAAACTGTGTAGTACTGGCAAAAGAACGGAAGTCTAGATCAGTGGAATGGAATTAGAGTCCAGAAATAAACTCTTGTATTTATGATCTACTGATTTTATTAACAAAGGTGCCCGGAACATTCAATGGGGAAAAAATAGTCTCTTCAATAAATGGTGCTGGGACAACTGAATAACCATGTGGAAAAGAATAAAGTCAGACCCCTACCTCACACCATACACAAAAGAAAACTAACTCAAACTGGATCAAGGTCCTACATAAAACAGCTAAAATTATAAAACTATTAGAAGAAAACAAGGGAGTGAGTCTTTATAACCTTGGATTTGGCAATGGATTCTTAGATAGTACACCAAAAGCATAAGCAACAAAAGAAAAAAACACGTAAATTGGACTTCACCAAAATTAAAAACTTTTGTACATCAAAGGACATTATCAAGAAAGTGAAGACAACCTACGGAATGGGAGAAAGTATTTTCCAATCATGTATCTGATAAGGATCTAGTACCACAATATATAAACAACTCTTTTAACTCAAAAAAAAAAAAAAGGAATTACCATTTGACTGAGCAACTCCACTCTTACGTATACCCAAAAGAATTCTAAGCAGAGAGTCAAATACTTGTATGCAAATATTCATGGCAGTACTATTCACAATAGCCAAAAAGTAGAAACAGAACCCAAATGTCCCTCAAATGGATCAAGAAAATATGGTATATCTATAAAACAGAATATTATTCAGCCATAAAAAGGAATAAAGCACTGGGGGCTGGCCGGTTAGCTCAGTTGGTTAGAGCGTGATGTTATAACACTAAGGTCAAGGGTTCGGATCTCCACACCAGCCAGCTGCCAGAAAGAAAGAACTGATACGTGCAGTAACATGGATGAATATCAAAAACATGCTCAGTGAAAGAAGCCAGACACAGAAGGTCACATAATATGCAGAGCAGGTATATCCGGGGAGACAGAAAGCAAACCGGTGGTAGCCAAGGGCGGGGGGGAGGGTAGGAACGGCAGCAACTGCTTAATGAATATGCGGTTCCTTTTGGGGGGTGAAAATGTTTTGGAAGTAGATGTAGTAAATAATGGTTACACAACAGCGTAAAATTTATGTTATTGTGAATTTTGCAGCAAGAGAAAAACAATGCTCTGACTTGGTGAGTCCAGATAGGAGGGGCCTGCAGGGATTCGGTGGGCCCTTGTTCCCCTGTTGGGAGGACCAGGCAAGGGCCAGGGCCTGGACAAGGGCTCCCCGCCACACCCGGGGGCCCTGCCAGACTCCCTCACTTCAGGGTCAGGTGCTGCCCTCCTGAAGGGGCAGGGCATGGTGGAACCTCCTTACCATGAGCAGGAGGGAGGAGGGTATTTGCAGGCCACTGTCCCAGGCTCACAGCCATACTGCGCCCACAGGGACCCAAGATAAGATGGTCACAGATCCAGCTATAAGTGGGTCCCAGGAAGGGACACCAAACCTTGGCATGGTGACCACGCCCACACACCTCCTGCAGCAGGAGATAAAGTCAATCTGTTGCCTGTGCCTGGGCAACAGCAAGTAGACCCAGGGAGGACCTCTGTTTACAAAGCAGCCTGGCAACCCAACCAGTTGCCCTGGGCACCCCTCTCCAACCTGGCGCCGGGCGGGCGACCACAGGACCTGTGGCCAAGGGAAGCTTGGCTGTGCCCAGGGCTGGGCTTGGTCCAGGCAGGCCAGGGCTGAGGGCGAGCTGTGTCTCATCACGGCAGCAGCAGCCTCTTCTGACAGTCACAGCTATACCCCAAGCCAGGCTTTGGCACATAGGAGACCCCTGGGAAATATCTGACAAACAAGCAAACAAAAAACAAGCTGGACTGTGTTCCCTGCTGCTTTTCAAAACCTTGGTTGCGGAGACATCCTAGCTCTTGGACTGGCAGTCCAGGTCCAATATGACCTGTACCCGTCCCCAGACCCTTCCTCCTGGCTTTCCACATCCCTAAATGAGCAGATTTGGGGCCTTTGCACATGCTGTATCCTCCCCCCCAACTCCCCCCCACTCAGATGGGCCCAGTGGACAATCGCACACCTGGGCTCAGGCTCAGTCACTGGCCCGGGGTCACCTGTGGCCAGGTGGGTAATGCACACACTGCCTCCTCGTTCCCAGACAGTACCCCAGGGGGAGGGCATCCTGGGAGGGAAGCCACAGGGACCTGGATGTGGCAGTGGTGATCAGATGCCCCCCCCCCCCCCCGACACAGCCCTATCCATCAGGAAACTCCTGGTAGATGCCATGGCTGGCAGTCGGCCTCTCGAGTTGTCTCTTTATTCAGCCAGCTGTGGGTGAGCCTTGGATGGAGGCAGGCCCTCGAGGGCTCCAAGATTCAGAAAGGCCCCTGTGTCAGCCTCTAGATATCAATCTAGAAAGCACCATCGCTGTTACATCAGCTGGTGTATTTTGGGGGCTATGTGCACATGGCCTGGAGAGGTGGGGGACAGGAAGAGGGGCGAGCAGTTGGGGGTGGTCCAAAAGGGAGCTCTGGGACCAAGAGACTGTACTGGGTTCTAGCTCATCGAGGTTGGGCCAGAGCAGAATTTCTTCTTCTCCCTGCAGTAAGAGGAACAAGGCAGGCCAGAGCCCTGAACAGATGCCTGTCTGGGGCTGCTTCTCTAGAGAGGTTCCCTCAAGGTGGGGTCTCCAACAGGGGGCACGAAGAAAACAACCCCAGCCTGAGGAGTGTTAGTAATGCCATGGCTGCCCCAGGGATGTCTGCCCCACCGCACTACAAATCTGTGCTGCTGAAGTTCTGGGGCTAGAATCACAGGGGACAACTCCACAGAGCAAGCAGCACTCAGGTGGGTCCCTGACAGCATGGGAAAATGTGTCACCTTGGAGGCCACCTGACTCACTCCCCCGGGGAAGCAAGACCCCTGTGTACTTATGTCACAAACACCCAGTTCCCTCCGCAAGCCAGGTCTCCCGCCTGCCCACACCCTGCTGAGGCTGGGGTGTCATGTGACATAGGAATGACAACACTCTCCAGGGACCAGGCTCTGTTCCCACTTTGTATGGACCTCCTTTCATCAACCTTGGGAATATCTAGTCTTACAACCCATTTGCTCAGAGAGGCTAAGAATCTCGCTCAAGTCACACAAGAGAGTGGCTGTCGAGCTGACAGGCTCCAGGGTTCCTGCTCCTAACCAATGTCCCACACGACTTCTCCGTGCTTCCTACAGCAGAACTTGGCCAATTTTCTCTGTAAAGGACCAGACAGTAAATATTTTCAGTTTTGCAGACAGTCTGATCTCTGCTACAATGACTCAATTCTGCCTTGCAGCAGACAATATATAAACCAGGGAGCATGTCTGTGTGCCAATAAAACTTTATTTACAAATCTCACAGGACTACAGGTGCAGAGGCTGGGTGCTAAGCCCCCACCCCACCCACTTCCTCATTTGCTCACCAGACATTGGGTAGTGGGATGCTCCCCATCCCAGAGGAGGTGAGGACAGCTGTGTGGCAGAGTGACAACGATTCCCAGGTGAAGGGCACTGTGGGAGCCTCAAGGTGGCACCTTATCCAGCCCAGAAAGGAGACCAGGAACAAATCCGCCAGTAAGAAGAAATAGCATGGGGAAGGCATGTAGAAAGGGGGGACACAGACAGTGAAGCCACCAAGGAGACTGCTGAGACAGACTCCCAAGCAAGGCAGGCTGCTTTGTGGGAGGGCTGCTGAGGGACCGCGAGAGGCCCCAGGGACATGTGGTGTGGGAGTCTGGCTGGGACCACGTGCTGTGGGAGAGACACACAGAGAGGACAGCGCTAGAGGTAGAGCTGAGGGGCTAATGGCTAGCCAACCAGGAGAGTGCAGGGGCTGGGAAGAGGGTGGCTCTTGGGGGACACAGGCTGCCTGCTCCCCACCCATCATGGAATCAACCCCTGGCATACCCCCTCCTTGACTCTGGGGCAGTAGAATCTGGGGGACCCTGTGGCACAGGGGACTCCCTGGTCCCAGGCTTGAAGAACACACACAAGAAAATAGTCGGCACAGACAGCAGGTGCCCCACCTCCCCTGTCCACCACCGCAGCCCTGGGCCTAACCCAGGGTCTGGCACCCTAGGAGGGCCTCCAAAGGACAGGAAAAGGGCTGGCCAGTTATCTCAGCTGATTAGAGCGTGGTACTGATAACACCAAGGTCTAGGGTTCTATCCCTGTACTGGCTAGCTATGGGGAAAAAAAAAAAAGGACACAAAGTCCTATCTCCAGGGACTCTCCAACCAGATGGTCCCAGGAGGACGTGCCATGTCTCAGTCATCTCCCAGTCCACCCTACCAGTCACACAGTGTCTAACACAGCCAATCTGCTGTGGTGGCTCACCTGCTGGACACGCCTTCACAGTTTCCTAGAACTTTCCAGAACAAGGCCAAACTCCTTACGGGTCTCACAAGCCCCCTGCCAACACTGCAGCGTCACTGCAGCCCCCTGTGTGTCTCCTGCCATGCTGCACTGGCCTTCGCCACTCCCTCCTCCCAAGACCAGGGCAGCAGTCCCCTCACCCCTGCCCTCTCTGCCTGTTTCCTTGTCGCCTCCTCCTGAAAGCCCTCCAGCACTTCCCGGACAAGCTCCTATTGCTGGTATGCATGGTGGCTCCTGACTTAACGCCTGCCTTGCTCACCCACCTGACTACCTTGTGAAGTGCAGACCTAGGCTCTGGAGGTGGCCAGCATATCACCTGGCACGTTGGGGGTACTCACCTGAATAGTGTACCTGGGGCAGAAGAGGCCTGGCCCCTTCCCTAAGCACAGGAGGCAGCAGGGGGTGGGGTCCAGGTGCCAAAGTCCAGTGCCAGCCTGCCCCTGACCGTGAGCATGGCCTTGGCTGGGGAAGCCGCTCCCCTGCTCAGACATGCAGGCACTGGGCGGGCACACAGCAACACTCCCTGCCTTTACAGTTCTCCTCGCTTCTGGAAAGCAATGGAACAAGCGGGGGTCCTGAGACCTGAGACAAATGCCTGGTGTTCAACTCTCCAGCCATACAACCTTCCACCCCCGTAAAGATGAGGAATGTTCTCTGGCAGATGGAGAACAGGGGAGAGATGAAGGAGCCTCCACCAGCTTGGGGTGGGGAGAAGCCACATTTGAAGCCCTGGCCTCTCCAGCAATAGGGAAAATTATTACCGCCACCGAATGGAGGAGTAATTAAAGCTCTTTATCTCAGTAGACTTGTGGGAGAGAGGGATGCAGAAAGGCTGGTCCAAATGTTGGAGCTTTTATTAAATCACCTCCTACTGCCAAGTACAACATGGGCTGCCCACCTTCCAGGGAAGATATTCCACAGTAAAAGAGGAGAGTTCGGTAAAAAGGAGAATGAGATCCCCCCCACCGCACACCCACCCGCACAGGCATGGAACAATCAAGGTGCTTCCCTAATCTCACCCAGCCGGCTTCTCTCTGCGTGGCCCACTCAGTGCCAAGCGCAGGCACAAGGGACCCACAGGGAACGAGAGAGCTGGGCCCTGCCTTCCCACACAGAGAGCTGCCAGTGGGAGGCAGACAGCTCACAGCACACCGGAGCGGAGACGGGATAACAGGAGCTGTAGTAAGTTCTGGAAGGAAAGGCAACAGGGAAGCGGATGTGCATGGACAGGGGTACAATTCACATTACAGACAGACTCAGTGGGGAGGTGACCTCCAAGCCAGGCCCTGCTGCCCTGGCAGTGGTGACCTTGTTTCTAAAGTGTGGGCACCAGAAACTTCTCCTCCATCCTATACCCAGCAGGGAGAACCAAGAAGGAAAGTGGTTAAAACGATGAGCTTTGGCATCAAGGAGGACTTGGGTTCAGGGCCAAACTCGCTGTGTGACCTTGGGCCTTGGTTTCCTCACCTGTTCAATGGCAGTTAAGACACATCACAAGGAGTGAGAGGACATAATCCAGCCAGCACCAGGGCCCTATGCTGGAACCGCCCTCCCTTCCATCCCTCCCAGGGGGATTCCATGATCACAGAGGCAGTAGTAAGTGGCAGATCAATGCCTGTCTTACAAGCATACCCCAACCCAGGAATCTTAGCTGGCCTAGCCTCCCTCTCCAGCCGTAACCTAAGCCAGACCCTCCCTCAGGCGCTGTCCTCAGAGAAGCTCCGAAGCAGCTGCTGCCACACTCTGCCCAGCCCCAGGGTATCTGAGGACTGTGAGGTCACCCTGGGCTCTTCTGGCCTAGCCCTGCCCTCTGGGTGAATCCCAGCTCCTCCTCTGGAGCATCAGACTTGGGAGCTCCGGGGCATGACAGGGCAATTGGTCAAAGACTTCCAACCCAGAAATCCCGCTGCAAGGCAATATCATACAACCTCTACTTGCAAACATCTGCAAAGACATACCTAGAAACAAATACATCCGAAGCAACAGAAAACCTAAATACCCACTAAATGAATGAATGATGGTGCAGCCAACTAAAAGAAACAGACTGTGATCTGTAGACACAGACATGTGAAGGTGACTGAGCCATACTATTAAGGAGGGAGAAGTGTAAAATACATGCACCATAGGTGTAAAAATGAGAGCGGGGGAGGGACGGCATGCATGGGGCTTGCCTAGAAACACAGTGACTTCAGGGGCTGCCTGTACTTTCAATCCACACCCTCCTCTCCCACTGTTTAAATGTGCGTAACTTGAAGCTCTGTGGGTAGAGATTTATGCAAGCGTGCCTGTGTGTGCCTGAAAAACCAAGGTCGCAGGCAGTGTGGAAGCATGATGAGGCTGACTTTTCA